GAGGAACCAGCCCGGACGGAAAAGCCGGTCTGCGATTACGCTGGGAACTCAGACCGTCGGCCAGAGCCCCGGAGCCCCATCTCCAGAGCCGAGGCCAGAGGTGTCCCAGGATGCTCCAGTGGCACATTCAGAGCACTTTTGTTTCACACCTGGAACCGGGGAGGGGAAGTGTGAAGGAGGCATTAAGCCCTATTGAGCATAACTGCCGAAAGCCACCCACCCCGTCTATTACGAGGCTCATCATTGAGGAGCCGGGGCCAGATCAGCATGTTTGTGAATGCTTGCAGATCATGGACACTTGACTGAAAGGAGTGTCCTCGCAGAGAAAGATGAGGGAGGAGGGAACGCTGCATTTAGGCCTTTCCTTTTCCTGTTAAGAGTGTAATGCAAAGGCTGACGTGAGGTGTGAACATAGACGTGCCCTTTGAAGTTCAAATGACATTTAGAGGTCAATTATGTTGTTAGCAGAAGGTGTCTGCTGGGTTCAAACCGCCATAAAATACAACTTAAAGGTATAAAATGAGACGCTGCAGTTTATGTCCTGTCAAAACTGAAGACGCGCCATTTAAAGAGGCTGCAAACTGGAGATAAAACAATATAGTGTTTCACACTGTCCATTAGTGAATTACAGACTTCTGTGACAGAATATCATCAAAAGACTAGGAGAGGAGACTCAAAATATTGTTAGTGTTTATTGTATTAATTCAAAAAATACTTTCTGTGGTACTTTGGCCGTTTCAGATAGTAATGTAACTGAATGATTGTCATATTCATGAACTATAATATTTACACTGTACTGTAGGGTTTTATAAAGAATGTACACAGTTGTAAATAAAACATTTAAGAGATTATTGGAGTGTTTTAAAAGAAAATACGCTTTAAATTGTTTCTAAATTCAAACTTCCAGGTTTAATTCATTAAATGTGATTTTTTTTTTTTTACTATGTTATTACCATAGTGCCTTGTCTAAAAAGTGTCATACTTTAGAAAAAAAGAAAGTTTCATACTTTGGGAAAAAATGGTATCAGTAGGAAATTTTTATTTTAGTTAAAAGAGATAAAAGATAGTTATGTTAAAAAATACACATCTTTTATAAGGTTTCACAGCCGTGTCACATGCCTGTCAAAACACAATGGCTGCTGAATTTAGTGTGTTTTTAATTTTTTCTTATTTAGTCTGTTCTTCCCCAGTATTCAAGAAGAAAATATTTAAAATATACAAAGATGCCGAAAAGCGGGCCATTCTCTTTTCAATCACGTCCTATAATATTTACATATGAAATGTGAACATAACTGGGAGCTAAAATATAAGGCTCGGTGATGGAAGCACTGACACATTTGTAGTGTAAATTGGAGATAGACAGACTCAGGCATTTCGTTCAGATGGAGGAGTAAACTCCAGACCCAGGTAGGCAAAAATCTCCTCTCCCGTCTTTGCTCTGACATACAGATTCTGTACAGTTTTACAATTAAACATTCAATATTATTTTAGATAATATAAAGGCCAAATTGTATTTTATATACAAACCCAATTCCAAAAAAGTTGGGACACTGTACAAATTGTGAGTAAAAAAGGAATGGAATAATTTACAAATCTCATAAACTTATATTTTATTCACAATAGAATATAGATAACATATCAAATGTTGAAAGTGAGACATTTTGAAATGTCATGCCAAATATTGGCTCATTTTGGATTTCATGAGAGCTACACATTCCAAAAAAGTTGGGACAGGTAGCAATAAGAGGCCGGAAAAGTTAAATGTACATATAAGGAACAGCTGGAGGACCAATTTGCAACTTATTAGGTCAATTGGTAACATGAGTGGGTATACAAAGAGCCTCTCAGAGTGGCAGTGTCTCTCAGAAGTCAAGATGGGCAGAGGATCACCAATTCCCCCAATGCTGCGGCGAAAATTGTCTCCTCAGTCCCCAGACGTTTGCAGACTGTTATAAAAAGAAGAGGGGATGCCACACAGTGGTAAACATGGCCTTGTCCCAACTTTTTTGAGATGTGTTGATGCCATGAAATTTAAAATCAACTTATTTTTCCCTTAAAATTATACATTTTCTCAGTTTAAACATTTGATATTTCCTCTATGTTGTATTCTGAATAAAATATTGCAATTTGAAACTTCCACATCATTGCATTCTGTTTTTATTCACAATTTGTACAGTGTCCCAACTTTTTTGGAATCTGGTTTGTATATCCGATTACACAGATATATTAAAGGGGTCATATGATGCGATTTCAAGTTTTCCTTTCTCTTTGGAGTTGTTTGTGAATAGATAAGATCCCTAAACTTGCAAAGACTAAAGTCTCAAACCCAAAGAGATATTCTTTATAAAAGTTAAGAGTCAGCCACGCCTACCTAAAACGGCTCGTTCTAACACGCCCCCACATATCTACATCACTATGTGGGAAGATTTGCATAACGCTGCCCAAATGTTCACGCAAAGAAAGAAGACGTAACTTTTATTCTCGCTGTAGTATTGTTGTTGCCGCCGCTGCCATGTCGTGAAGACGCTGTGTTTCATTGTGAAACTACTTTGTTTGGTCTTCCAAAAGAGGACACAACTAGAAATCAGTGGTTAAGTTGTATTTAACCACTAAAAGAAAGCTGTCGAGACAATAAATAACTCACTGTTAGAAATTAATTGTGGTGTTTTAAAGGTGTTCATCTTTGACAGGCATAACTTTTCATCAGCATTGCAGTGGGGTCTCTGATGGGTTTCAGGGTAAACCTGCAACACATCTACATACTTACTTCAGTTGCGGAGTAATGTGTTCATAAATGCAGACCCAGCAAGTGAAATCTGTCCTTGTACCTTTAATATGTGTCGGTCCTGAACTATAACGGGATGTCCTGCCTCCACGCTCTCCGAAAACCACCTGGTGTCCAACAAATGGACAGAACTGGAGGCGTCTCGTCCAGTTTGGTTGTCCAACCAGGCCTGAACTTCATCTTTACTGTTGTTTTCTGACACAACATGTGTGATATAGGAACTGTAAGAGAAAAACAAACAGAAATTTGCACCCCTACAAAAAAGCACGGTGGTAGAAAAGTGATGATAGTTTGTACGTGTAGGTTTCTTTAATAAGAAATCTTCCTCTCCAAGATGAATTATAGAAACATTAGGAAATTTACAGGTGTCATTATGTTGGCTATTAACAGGTAGAGAGACTTTCCTGCGTTTTAATGGTATCATAGTCTAGAATAAACCACTCTGGATCCTCCGATTGCTACTCAAAACTAGGCCAAAACTCGCCCAATTGCGTTCCGGGCTTAAAAAACACGTAATATACACTTTTGTCTGGTAAAATTAGCACTCCATGGGGCTAAATATCACGTTATTGTGGTGCGACATGAAAAACAACCCGTTGCAACAGTGTGAAAGTAGCCCAATTCTGCTGGAAAACCGCGGACGTGGCAACACTGAGTACTTACAAGTGCGTGCATTGGTGGCCCGAAAGTTGTCTCTAAGTAGTCACCGTGGCTATAGATAATAAGTATTCAGATTTAACTCTTCACTTGGTGTTTTTAAATGAAACAGCTATAAAGAAATTAAACTTATCAGTATAATTATTTAATTAAAGGGGTCATATGATGCTGCTAAAAAAAACATTATTTTGTGTATTTGGTGTAATGAAATGTGTTTATGCGGTCTAAAGTAAAAAAAAAAAAACATTATTTTCCCCATACTGTACATTATTGTTTCTCCTCTATGCTCATCGTTGTGTGCTGTGATTGACCAGCTATCCAGTGCGTTGTGATTGGCTGAATACCTCAAGCGTGTGACGGAAATGTTACGCCCCTCACATACTGTTGATGCTGTGTCCGGCTGGAGCAACAAGACAAAAACATCAAAACCCATTACAAACGATGCATTTGTTGCATCCAGTGGGAACATAATTACTGATTATAATGACTTATACTGTCTTTTTACGCATTGCATTGCATCGTGGCGCATAAACATAAAACCCTGTCTGCATTTGTGATCAGAGAAATGACAAACAACAAGCGCTACTCTACACTGCCCAAAACTCTCGTTTGAATCATCAGTGGCAAATCCTTTAAATGAAGACGTACTTACAGTCTGTGAGTCAGAACAGCCGGCATTGTAGTCTACTCTCCCAGGATCAGGAAACAGTCCTCCATAAAATGCTCTGCACACATCTGAATATTTGGGTTAAACTGTTCTGGAACAGTGTTGTAAATACAACTTAACCACTGATTTCTAGTCGTGTCCTCTTTTGGAAGACCAAACAAAGTAGTTTCACTTTCACAACGAAGCACACAGCGTCTTCACGACATGGGGGCAGCAACAATACTACAGCGAGAATAAAAGTTACGCCTTCTTTCTTTGCGTGAACAGTTGGGCGGCGTTATGCAAATCTTCCCACATAGTGATGTAGATATGTGGGGGCGTGTTAGAACGAGCTGTTTTAGGTAGGTGTGGCTGACTCTGAACTTTTATAAAGAATATCTCTTTGGATTTGAGACTTTAGTCTTTACAACTTTACAGATCTTCTTCATGCACCAAGAGCTTGTAACACTCCAAAGAGAAAGGAACAATTGAAATCGCATCATATGACCCCTTTAAAGGTTGTCCTGATCGCTGCTAAAGACGCGGTGTTATCACGTGGTATCTGTTACTTTTCTCTGCGCTGGTGAAGACGGACCAATCGCAGCCATTTGTGATTACTGCAAAATGAATTCAAAAATCTTTTTACATTTGTTCTGCCAGATTCCAATTATATAGCAAAGTATCAAGAATGTTAATTAACATATTTAAACGTTAATAGCGTAGTAAACAAACGTCTCCAAAACCGTAAGGCATCTTCATATTTGAACGTGACTCTGTGAGCTCAGGCTTTTGGGCCACAGGCGCCACCTATCGGAAGACAGACCTCATGTCTCATAGGATTGTATCCAGGGGGATCTATTTTGAGTGCTACACATGTTGAGAAAGTTTTGGTGCACCCATAAAGTGTTCCGACTGGGTGCAGACTTGCTATATTAACTTAACTCACAGTAGTTATATAATACAAAATAAAATAATAAAAGCGAAAGGGCAGATTTTCTTGATCTTCAAATGCATTTATAATAGCATGAAGCAACTTTGTGACTTTATGTGAACGCATCAGCTGTTAGATCAGGCTGCAGTCATATGACACTGAGTGTCTCACTTCCTCAAACTTTCTCAGTTCATCCCACCGTGTGTGCTGCAGTTCGCCACTCAAAGCCCCCGACTGCTTGACACCGTTATTCCAGGCTTCCAGACTGCGGGTTTGGGCTGGTTTTGGCCTCATGGCGAGCTCGCGGGTCGGTCAGTGGAGGTCCAGCGCGTGGGTCGTGTCCACCTGTCTACTGCTCGCGCTTCTCACCTGCACGCTCAGGTGTTCCGAATGCGTCACACTGAGCAACATCATCCTCATTCTCACCGACGACCAGGATGTGGAGATGGGGGGAATGGTAAGTGTACAAAATTAGCCTACACTTTTTTTATTGGTCGTGCACCATGACAGTATCACTTTTGCACAAAGGGTTGTGCTGTACTGTAACGTAATACAGTGCTTTCAGATGGTTTTAGATACTCTAATTTATGCACCATAATGTTGACATTTTATTTCAGTGAACTTACTAAATACAAAAATACACACCAAAAAAAATCCATAATAAATTAGTGTCATTTTATGTTGTTCTTGAAATTAAGGCTATTTTAGCCTATTTAATGTATAAATATAATATTTAAAAATATATCTTTTTATTGAGGCAATATATCAATGAATTTCCAAGATGGTACTACCTTAGTGTATGTCCAAACACACACACACACACACACACACATATGTCTGGTCAGCTATCCTTGTGGGGACTCTCCATAGGCGTAATGGTTTTTCTACTGTACAGACCGTATATTCTATCGCCCTACACCAACCCTACCCCTCACAGGAAACTTTAACCATTTAGATTTTCAAAAAACTTAATTCTGTATGATTTATAAGCTTTTGTACCCGTGGGGACCACAATTTAGGTCCCCACCGTGACACGAGTCCCCATGAGTCTGTGTGTATTCAGGTTTAAATCCCCACCAGAATATATAAACCAGTACACACACACACACACACACACACACACATTAGTACTATGTATATGTATATATATTCACCTCAAATTCAAACAGAACAAATTTAAGAAATTATATTGTTGATGCAAGGAAGGCTATTATAGGATTTTTTTTGTTTACATTGTGACATTTTATCATGAAAATCAAGCACATTTAATTTCCCAGTTCTCATTCTGATAATGCAAAAATCTAGCAAATGATGTTAAATATATATCATACTGACACTATAGCATTCTCTATTCTTTTTCTATTCTATCTTCTTGTTTACTTTTTATTTATTATCAAAACTGACCCTCTAACACTAGCATTCTCTATTCTTTTTACTTGTTTTTCTTTATTTGTAAAAAAAAAAAAAAAAACCTTGCTATTTGTATTGCGTTAGACTAACTGAGACTTGTCACAGCACTTTCATATTATTGCTCTTTTGTTAGTTTTGATTGCTTCTAGTGTCCTCATTTTTGAGTCGCTTTGGATAAAAGCGTCTGCTAAATGACTAAATGTAAATATATTCAAATGTATTATTTAAATTCAAAAGTATTTATACATTGTAGCATTTGTTATACTAGGGAATTTTGCATTCATTTTTCTGCTTATATATATTTAAAATATGATTTTATTGAGACAGTACATCAGTGAACTTCCAAAAATACCAAAGTAAAGACAACAACTCTCTCTCTCTCTCTCTCTCTCTCTCTCTCTCTATATATATATATATGCACACAAATTTTTTCACGAAAATTAAGCATATTTAATCTCCCATTTCTCATTCTGATAATGCAAAAAGATTTGTTAGATTGTTATATATTATATATTTATTAAATAATTATAAATATATATATATTTGTATTATTATTATATATATTACATATACAGTGGGTACGGAAAGTATTCAGACCCCCTTAAATTTTTCACTCTTTGTTATATTGCAGCCATTTGCTAAAATCATTTAAGTAAATTTTTTTTCCTCATTAATGTACACACAGCACCCCATATTGACAGAAAAACACAGAATTGTTGACATTTTTGCAGATTTATTAAAAAAGAAAAACTGAAATATCACATGGTCCTAAGTATTCAGACCCTTTGCTCAGTATTTAGTAGAAGCACCCTTTTGATCGAATACAGCCATGAGTCTTTTTGGGAAAGACGCA